CTATGAGTTGGGTCCAACTCAACGGCAAACAACAAGTGCTCTCTGGGTAAATCTAGTGTCACAGAGAGGTACTATTGTACTCCTTTGGTGTGGATACCAAAAAGAGAATGATTAAGTAGGAATACTTGGTGAGAAAACGTGTGACCAGATCCGCTAGAGTGGGAATGGTTTAAAAAAAAATTTTTTTTTAACATAATATATATGAATTGGAATATGCTGTTTCTTCACAGGTCTGAAAAGATTTAAGGCCTTTGTGTTAGGTTGTTTGCATACCTTCTGAATTATAAGAATAATAAAAAGAATGCAGGGTTTATGCTTGCATGAAGTTTATTGAAACATTATGCTTGGTGGTAGATTCCACCTTGAATGTCGACTCAAACAGCGGCATCTTCAGCATCTGTTAGAAATAAACATTAAATTGTTTAGATTTGATGATTACATTGAACATGTGACATGAATGGAAGATCAGAAGTTAAAGGTCTGCCATCGATTTGCTGTTACTAAACTCTTAACTAATCTGATCGGTTACCTAATCAGATAGTAAAATATCCTAGCAATTCATACTGAGAACAGCCATTTTAGAACTCCACTAAAGTGAATGAAGAGGATGAGTAAGTGGTTTATGACACGGAGATGGCCTCAGTGCACTCAGCCCTGAGACATTTTGGTAACTGAGAGCTCTCTGTTCTTAAATTTAGTAACTGTACTACTTCACCCACTAATGAAATCTGCCTTGTCTGTCTCTGGGATGTCCAGAACTTGAAAGTACAATGAACTCTTCTAAGTGATCTCCTTGGTATAGATGTATAACATTGTATCATATATGCCTAACTTGTCTCCCTGCTTTCTCTATTTATTTGCCATGGCTTGACTTCTAATCCGTGAATCAGATTGTATCATTCTGCTTAAAACATTTATGTTGGTTTCCCATTGAACTTTCAGTCCAAGACTCTCTCCTTACTCCTCTTAACTTCTCCAACTTCATCTTGTATACTCTCCCCAAGCTCCTCCCAGCCAGTCTCCTTTGGGCCTTCTTTCAGTTTCCCGAACCTCCACAGGACTTCTTCCTGCCATAGGACTCTTCATGCAGCCTCTGCTCAGGTCTGGCTCCTTCTCATGGTTGGGCACTGGTTTAAACCGCCTCACTGAGAATGTGCCTGAACACCCCATCTAATGACAACTATTAAAGGAGGGCCTACAGCAGTGCTCTGTTCTCTTCATTCACATATTGTAATTTACAGTTTTGTCTGTCTCCCCTACCTAAGTGTAAATTCAATGTTTTGCTCACTCCATTTTTCTCAGGTGAGGGGAGGAAGGGTCATCTCAGTACTTGCTATTAAGTACTGGTTGAATGACAAATTAAAAAACGATCTGTGAGTGATAAACTGCCTTCTCTAGTTAATCCATTTGTCACCTTAGTTCTTTAATGTGTTTCCAACCTGTCTATACTACTATCAATGTTCAAAACTCATGCTACACTGCTCAGGTGTTCCATGTATAATCAGCAGTTCTCCTGCTTTCCCATCCTTCCTAGCTGTCATGTCTTTTATCCTTAGTCATTAAACATACCAACTAGATAATAAGGTTTCCATGTAAGACAGTTGCCTTTTTCTTTTTTCAATTCACCCGTTTAGCCTCAGCCACAATACTAGACATAGAACAAGTATTCAAAGATTATTGAGTTGACTGACTGACTGGTTGCTATATTTGGCACCAAATCCTCGGTACAAGTCATGATGCTGTGCATTTATCAGAAATTGGAGATAAGGAAGCTGAAGAGACAATAACCACATCAAATTGGAGTATACTCAGCTCATTGCATATTATCTCAATTCAATTTTTTTTTTTTTTAAATATCTCCATCAACAAATCAAAACGCTGAAAACCCAAGTGTGTTAAGGCCCACATATGGTAGGAAAATTTACCTACCAGTTTTAAGTTTCTGTTCTGCGAACATGGGCAGTAGTCACGGTAATTTCTCCAGCAATACCGTAACTTCCAAAAGGAGTACGTTTGTCACCAGATCCTGAACTTTTTTTAGCTACATCTTCTACTGGGAAAGCAACAGAAAGAAAAACTGGGCTTTGTGGTCGGGGGACATCTTGTCCACTTGTAGGAGAACTAGCATTCTGGGGATTTGGGATATGTTTCTGGAATTTCTGATCTGCAGGAACAGCAATAGGTACTTGTACTGCAGTATATCTCTTCAAGGTATCTGACTGCGAAACAACAGCATGTCCAGGAAGAGGTTTCCAATCCTGTGCTTCCTGAACATTTGAGCCTACCAAAATAAAAGGTGGGGCACTGGTCTTCTTGGTGTCATCCATCATCACATAAGCTGGAGAAGTAACTTTCGGTGGCTGCTGCAGAAACTGTGGATCCTTAGGATTAGATAAATAGAGGGTTGCTTGGGGGAAAGGCCCAGGTGCAGGTGGCGGTGATGGGTGACTTTGTTGATTCATATCAGCTAGACAATAAAGGGTCCACATGTTAGAATATGGTGGTGGTTGTCCTGCTTCGCTTGCTGCTATTGCTACAAAAAAAAAAAATTTGCAGGCATTAAAGATTTGGTCTCTGTATCAGGCGCTATGCACAGAAATGTCTTTATAAATCTTTTTTTTTACATATAAACAAACAGCTGTAGTAATATGTGCCATAAAGCATGCTATAGAGAGGGCTAAGTAAATTGTGTTTGGAAATGTGAAAGAAGAGAGATTCTCTATAGTTGAAAAACGAGAACAGTGTTGTTGTGATAGTAAGTGGCAGGGACACTACAGTTGTGGCTGAAGAAACAACCTCATTCCAAGTGGCCATTTCCAGGTACTTAAACTTTAGACATGGCTTCTACAGGGTCCTCAGCAAGGAAATGGACAGTCAACAAAACTTCTGGCTTACCGAAAAAAAAAAAAAAAAAAAAAACTGCAGAGTATGTTAGGCCATTGAAAAAGGGTTAATTCATCTGCATAGTGATTATTTCTCTCCTGGCAAAAGTCAGCACTAGGTGTCATCTTTTGCACACATAACTATCTCTGGCCCTTCACAGGCACTACTAGCTCCCACCTTTATGTCACCACACACAAAATGTCACATAATCTAGGACTCAGAACCCCAGAGAGTACCCCTCATTGTAGGCAAGGCTTGAAATAATAGGTCCTGGGTGGCAGTAAAAGGCTGGTTGGTCCCACAGGTTCTTTAAGAAAGTAGCGAACTAAAAATGCCATCCATTTCCTTACACCAGGAATCTATAATGTCAAATTTGACTTGCCTAATGAAGACAGTTCTAGGCAAACTAGTCCCAGAAGATGGGACCTAGGAGAAAAAAGTTGCTGATGGAGTAGTGTCACTCCATCACTTTGCCTTAGAACACTGGGCCATCTATCCCTGGTGCAGCCTTTTCCTCCTAGAAAAGAAAGTAACACTAGGCACATGATTAAGGCCTATATAATTTCAATAGCTTCAGATACTTTCAACTGATCTTTCTTCAAGCTTATTTAAAAATGTGTACAAGCCAAGTCTCCAGTGTTTTAAAGGGGAGAGACTGTTTGATAGCTCAATCAGTTTTTGTTGTTAAATGTCCTCTTAGTGCAGATGGTAACTTTATTTTATTTTAAGGAAAGTTAAGCACTTGAAAACAGTGACTTGGGATGAAAGTGCTACTTAAGCCACAAGTATAATGCCAGTCCCACATGCTACACTCCCAACGCTGGCCTCTGCCTTTTCAGCTATATAGAGGCTCCATCACACTGCCAGACAGAATTTGATCTAACACCTGCTTTGGTAACACTATTATTCTGGCCCTGGTAAGAGTCAAGGTTGAGTTTCTGCAAAAGAAAAGGGGAGTTTCGTTCATGCATGTCCCATCTATCGCTAAACAGAGCAATGCTCCTGCAGTTGCCTAGGTGGGGCAGGAGGGGGAGCAGATAAGATGTCATAAATAGATTGAGATGGAGGTCAGGTCATGTCTGTGTCACAGGAAAACAGTGGTGGTTGTTCAGCAGCTAGGAAAGCAGCCTGCTCTGGGCACTTGTCAGAGGATCTGATACAAGGAAGCCAATCGTCTCAATTGCATCCATCATCGCTCAAGTGCCTGGTTTTCCCTTCTGCTGCTCATCCCTCCCTGGTCCCCTGTGTGACAGAGGTTCAGCCTGCCCCCTCTTCTCTCAATCCATCTATGAAGTTGCTCCCTCCACTGCAGCAGCTCCCAGGCAGGAAATCCATGCTTGACTCAGCTCCCCAGTCCTGGTTGCAGAGCTCTCCTGCCTCAGTGCGAAAGCAGTCAAACACACCACCATTTCTTTCATTTTTTTCCTTCTCCTTTTCTTAAGTAGAGGAGGTTAAATGCCATAATCTACGTAAATGCACTGCTGGAGTTTGATTTTACAATCACAATTGAAAAATTTCAAACCAACAACCCTAATTACAGTCTTGTAATAGGAACACAAAATAGTAAGATCACGAGTATGATTTTTTTTTTTTTTTAACCCAGCAAGCTTTAGTTTTTACAACATAATGTGACCAAAAGAATAACAGAAGTGCTAGATGACCAAACTTTAGGGATGTCACTTTAAAATCATTCACCTAATGATAATAAAATCTCAAATGCAGCAAAGCATTTAAGTAGATTTGGCAATTTAAAAGCTATTGAAAATAAAGACCTTTGACCCAATCTGTGGGAAGCCTACCTAGATGGTTACCTAAAATGCAGATGTCAACCTTAAATGCAATTTGTAGTTGTGTTAAGTATCTAATTTTCTTACCTGGCTCCATCAAACCTTGTTCAGATGCTGCTGCCCCTTCCGGTTCGATTTCTGCTTCTGTAAGCCCTTCTGGAACAGGATAGGGGGAGCCACTAGATGATTTTACAGATGGACCTGAGGGCATCTCTTTTGCAGATCCCCCAGAGAACACAGGTTTGACCTCCGTCTCCAGGGGTGCAGAGTTTTTCCATGACTCATCCTGCCCAGTACTGTCAGGGACTATAGCACTGACCTCCATCTTAAGGTGCAGAGGTTTCTCAGAACCTACTGACTGGGCAGAGCCCTCTGCATGCAGGGATTGTGCAGCTACCTCTTGGAGACCTTCCAAAGAGGTGTCAAAGAACAGAACTGTTCCTTCTGCCTCCAAATGTACTGAGGACACATGTTTTTCATCCTCCTCCAGCTGAACAAGTTTTGCAGAATCTACCGATTTTGCAGACATGCCTGAGGCTGTCTTGGATGCTACAGGATTTGGACTAACTGGTGGTGACTGCTCATTTTCTTTAAGACAAGCAACTTGTTCAATAAAAGGGATAACTATTTGTTCTGGTATTTGCTCGATATAAGAAACTCCTTCAATCACAGGCACATCATTATATATAGATGATATGTGAAGGGTTGATGTAATCTCAATATCAGCCTGAAAAGGGACCTCAGGAGCTTGATCATAAGCAGGAGGTTCTTGTTCATCCTGCAAGGGGAGTGAGGAAGCCGTTGATGGTTCAGCCTTATTGTCTTTGGGTTTAGGACCTACAGCTACATGGACAGATGTTTGGCTCAGAGCCTCAACTGATACCACCTCTCCAAAACACACAAGAGGAGGGGACACCACGTTATCTTCAACAGCCTCTGAGCTCAGCACCTCCTCAGGAAAAGTAGGCATACTTGTAGCCACATCCACCATTAAAACGTCAGATAGATCAGAATGAACAGATGAATCTTTACCTAGCATCTGGGCAGCAAACTGAGATGGGTCAGCTGGGACATAGGCAAACTCTGGTGGGACAGCTGCTGGAGATGGTGATGAGGGTGGGGTAGTAGCCTCAGGAGAGGTTGGTTTGGAAGAAGGACCACAAACTACTTCAGGTGTGTCCACAGGCTCTGGGGCTTCAGCATGAACTGATGGAAATTGGGTGGTTTTGTTGCTTAATAGTGGTCCAGTCACATTGTCCTCCTCTGTGTCCGTAGATTTTTCCTTCCGTGTAGGTTCTGGGGAAATTACAGATGGTTTTTCTGGTTCTTTTACACATTCTGGTTTCTTCTCTTGTGCCGTTCCTTCTGACCACTTCTCAACTGAAAACATTAGCCAGATAGGTTAATCAGCAAGTATTCCCCAAAGAGAATTTTAAAGATCATAGCATTAGGTTGAGCATTTAAATGTCAATATACATACAAATACAAAAGAGTCTGGCTTTATTTCCCAACATTTGAGACTTACTGTAGGTAATGAAACATTCCTGTCCTTACCTACTCAAAAGACTCTCCCCTCTATTGGTTCCCTTAGAAACAAGTGATTAAAAAGTACCGTTGCAAAACCAATCAACAGTATGAAGGGTAAGATCCTAACTCTGTGTCTAGAAGTAAGTAAGCTGCAACCTCCATGGATAAAGCTCCTGATCCAAAGGTCCACAAAAAACTGGGAGAAAGAGAAAAAGAATCTTAAACATAGGCAGTAAATTATCTAACCTTCAGCTGGTAAAAGAATAACTTATTAATGATGCAGATGTTACTGCATTAATAAAGGCATTGTAGTAAATCTTTACAGAAGTAGATTGCCTAGTCTTCCTTCCACAGGTGGCTGGTGGGTTTGAATAGCCGGCTTTCTGGTTAAGCATCAAATGCTTTAGGCACTATACCACCAAAGCTCCATAACAAAATTGGTTCACCTTAATTACAGGATGTCTCCAGGTTATGAATGAGATCAATTCCTAAGTGTATTTTTAAGTCACATTTGTAGGTCAGTCAGAACAGATGCATATGGTTCTTATTTAACCTTACTTTAGTGCAAAAGGCTGGAAAACTTTTCAGTAATTTAAGAGATGCACACACAGCAAATGAAGGTGACTGTGATGAAGAATTGTTGCAAGTAAGGGTTGGTTCAATCTTTTCTAAGTGAGGGCAAATTTACATAATACTGAAGGGCAACTTCACAGTTGTCTGTAACCTAGGGACTTACTGTAATTGGTAAATTAGGTCACTCTAGGGTATTTTTTTACATTAGAATACATTATATATTCTAACCTAAAATGGTGGTGGTGGTGGTGGTTATATGCCATCGAGTTGGCCCCGACTCATAGCAACCCCTCCTTGGGTTTCCGAGGCGGTATCACTACGGAAGTAGGATTGCCCAAGTAGCACCTAGCATTTATGTGATGATGGAGCCAAAGTTGTACTGACCCAACCAAGAGAGGTAGAGAGATCTCTGGTCCACAAGCATGGACTCAGTGACTCCTCAGGCACAGATAAAATTCCCATGACTGGAAAGGTCAAGACAGCTGATGACATATAGAAACTCCTCAAGCTGAAAATCATTTTCTAGCCTCAGCTAGAAGCTAGAAGCTCTTGTCACCCACACACCTGTCTAACCACCTTAGTCATTACTTCTCGAAAGCTTTCACACATCTACTTGCTGAGGACTTTCTCTTAGGGAAGCATTTCTCTAATATCCTAGTGAAGTCTTTATAGGAAAAGTAGAATTTGCTTTACAAGAATATGTTTGAATCAAGTCAAAATTTTATTTAAAGGAGTGCTTCCACAGATTCAGATGTTTCCCAAAGAATGTTGTCCTGTAGTATCTGCCTCTACAATAGTGATAAATTCACTTAAATTTGAATACAGTATCTAATTCTGAACCATGGATACTACCAATGCTCATATATAGATAAAAGTTTTAAATAAAAGACAGAAAAGCCACATCTATTCTTACCTGTCTCTGCTTTGAACAATAACCTCATTTTCCTAACGATTGGCCTCTTCAGGACTTCCCCACCCCTTTTCACAAAGCCCTTTCAATGATTCAATATATGTACCAAGTGCTTGGTTATGTTTAAGACAAGATACTAGGTACTGCTGAGAATATACAGGTTATTAAGACATGACCTCATACATCTTACAGTTTAATAGGGGAGATAAAACAAATACATAAATATTGTAGGTTAAAAGTATAAGTACAGAGTTCTAGTAAGATGGCAGAATAGGCAGAAAGACTGCACAGACCCTCTTCAACAAAGGAAAGGGGAACCAATTAACAAAGATACAGAAGACAATCCTGGACCCCTGAGCTTTGAAGGATACTGAAGTGAACTAAACTCGAACTAGCAGAAGAATTTGCATGAAAATACCAAAAAGGAGAAATACGGAGCTGCGGTCTGGCAGCAATACTGACGGCACAGACAGCTTGGATATTGCCGAGTGGTGGTAGGACCTAAGAATTAACCTAAAAATCAGCCCTGCTAGCCAGGGACTGCACGGAGGATTGCTCTAGTGGCTGGGAAATAAAAGGCGAAGCAGCAAAGAGGAAGACGGGTTAAGCTGTGGACTTTTGCCTTTCCAGGGGGCGCAGCCATTTTGAATGTTTACCAGTGGCTTGACCATTTTGGATATTTAAAGCAACATCATTCTCCCAGATTCCAGGGACTTAAGAACAGGCTCCACTTGCTGGAAACCGCAAAGACATCCCAGACACATGGACTACTGGAATGATGCGACATTCCCCTTGCTACTCTTATACCCCACACCCACTTGGTGAATGGAGGTACAGCCATCCCTCACTCCCACCCACCTTCTAGGCTGGCAGGAATTCCATCCCAGTATGTGTGCTCCCACAGAGTCTGGGTGCCATGTCTTGCCCTGTCCAGATATATTTTTTTCTTTTTTTAAGTTTGTTTGTTTTTGTCTGTTTTAAAACTACTACTATTATTATTACTTTTGTCCTTTTTAGTATCATTCTATATTTTTCCCTTCCCAGGTTCTACTTTTCATTTTTTTTGCTCTTTCTTGTGGCTACCCCATTCCTTGTTTTTCTTACTGCGTTTTTCCCATGCTTTCTTCATTATTCTCCTTCTCTACTTTTTTCCCTTATTGCCCTCTCCCCAGATATTGCAGTATTTGTTGTTTTGTTTTGTTTTTTGTTTTTTTCCCTTTTCTTTTTTTTGGTTAATGTTACTGTGTGATTACACAGTATGTTTATTGTCCATTTGCTTTTATATTTTGATTCAATTGTTATTCAATTGTTATTTTTGTCTGTGTGGGAGAGAGCAACAGTCTCCATGTGACACAACTACACCCACACTTCCTGCAGCTTTACTTACTGAGAGTCACCACCTCCTTCTCCACCAACGGGCCTACGATAAACAACAACCAAGAAAAGCCTGACTCACTGCGCTGTAGTAAATACCTGGTATGGCTTTTCTACCCATAAGTCTTTGTAAACTCCATGGTGGAATTTGCTGTGAACAACTGAGGAGGTCCTGATTTTAATATTAAAGTTATCCACCTGGGGTATTTCTTTTGGGCATGGCACAAAGCAATGTTCTGGGAAGTTTACTCTCTCTCAGGTGCTTAGAATTCTGATGTTATGAATGGCTAGTTTGGCCACTCTGCCAGGCTCAAAAGGAGGCTCCTAGAGGCAGAACTCTCTCTGACTGCTGGCTGAGAAGGACATGCTGCTGAGAGAAACGTGCTCCTGAGAGAAACGCACTCCTGAGAGAAATGCGCTCCTGAGAGACACACACTGTTGGAAGAGAGACTGTGAGAGACTGTTGGCTGAGAGACAGCGGGCTGAGTGAGAATGATTGTTTTTCCTGAACTTGAATTATAACCTGGTGCTTCCCTAATAAACACCATAATCTGTTAGTTCTGTGTGGCCACTTAAGTGAATTATCGAACCCAGCAGAAAGGTGGTAAGTGTTGTGGGAGGAACAGTTGGTGTCAGGGTTGGAGAAAGGGCTGGAGGGAGGCAGCATGTCTGGCGTCGCAGGAATAGGCCTTGGGCAATTGATGGTGATTCTGTCTTCCTCTTGTGGGGTTAGAGGAGGTCAGGAGATGTGGCCTCCTTGCGCCTTTAGCACTCACCCTTAGCGGCTCTTCACAAACAGTTCCCAGATCTAAATACAACAACGTCACAATGTTCCAGAGACAACAGATCATCACAATCAACACAAAGAGCAAGATAAAGTGGGAGAAACAAGGGAGCAGGATACAGGCCCAGACCACATCCCTGAGGAAGAAACAGCATTGGAACTCCCTGATTAGGAATTCAAAAGAATTATATTTAGGTATCTTCAAAGGATTGAGAAACAGATCAAGGAAAACACAGACAAATCCTTAGAAGAATTTTGGAAAAAAATACATGAACAAAATGACAAAATAAATGAAAAGTTAGAAATGATTCTAAATCCACAGATAGAAATCCAGAAGATTAATACTAAATTATCAGAAATAGATAGTACACTGAAAGGGCAAAGGAGTAAATTTGATGCAATGGAAAACAGAATTAATGAGATTGAAGACAAATACCTGAATATTTTTTTGGAAAGGGATCAATCAGAAAAAAGATCACAACAAAATGAAGAAAGCCTAAGGGTCATGTGGGATACCATTAAAAGGAATAATTTACATGTCATTGGAATTCCAGAACAGGAAGAGAAAAATAAAATCACTGAGACAATTGTCCAAGATTTGTTGGAAGAGAATTTCCCTGATATGATGAAACATGAGAATATATCCATTCAGGAAGTCCAAAGAACCCCAAACAAAAGAAAATCACCAAGGCACATCATCACCAAACACACCAAAACCAAAGACAAAGACACGCAGGGGACATCAAGCTCCACTGGCATAACATACTACACAAAACATTGTTCCACCTCCTACTGTGGCAAGTAGCGACTGGGATTTTAAAATCTTGCAAGCTGCCATCTAGATGCAATGATGGGTCTCTCCTCATCTAGAGCAAGGAAGAATGAAGAAAACCAAAAATTCATGGGAACGATTAGTCCTAGTCACGGATACACAGGCGATCTGCAGCCTATACAACTATGAAACCAGAAGAACTAGATGGTGCCCAGCTACCGCTGTCAACCACTTGGCAGGGGATCTATGTAGGAGATCCTGGATAGAGAGGGAGAACAATGTGGAACAAAACTCAAAATGATTTGGAGGGAAAAAAAAAGGGGGAGACCAGGTTTGCTGGTCTGATAGAGCCTGGTGGAACCACTGAGACTATGGCCCCTAGCTGCCCTTCAGGTCTGGAA